GGGCCAAGTGGGATATTGATGAGCTTAAAAGTGGTGTGATTGGGGAGAAGATTGAGAGCAACGATCACTATCTAAAGGTCGGCGTCGTTGGACTCCAGGAATAGTTTTGTCTTTGTATATTGTGGTCAACATGCCGTTGCAAACTTCGACTTCGTGGTCAAGACTGGGCAACGATCTCGGAGAGGGTACATGTTGAACTAGATTCGATTAATTTCCATTACCTATACAAATTACCTATAAGATCACTTGCTATGTTTCCCAGCAATTTGCAAAGCCATTCGAAACATCCTTATTTAGGTAGCTTTAGTCCACTTGCGCACGGGCAAGATTGAAGGAGTCGCGAAGAACGCCATGAGGCCCCAATGACTGCCAGGCAGTTAGTATTCTGGGAAAGCTTGAATTGCCGAGAAATAATTGGCGCAAGGCTGGAACCTTGCTTAAATATGGTGGCCAGGAAATATTTTCTCTCAGACCGTGACCCTCCTATCGAGTCACTCCTATAGGTATGTAGCCACTGGGTCAATTAAGATAGATGCCAAAACCAAGCCTTCTGGAACACTCCACAAGTCGTACTTCCGTGAGGGATAATTCAGCTGAACGGCGTGACCATGTCCAAATATCATATGCCTATTCTAGTTTTTTTTACCTGTGGGCTTTACGTCCTCCGAAGTTTGCGATCGGCGCAGCTTGCTTTCTATGTCCTGTGTTATTGTGGATATAGTTAGAGAAACTGCAGTAAGCCTATTTAATAGTAAGCATCTCCTTTTTGAGAAATAAGAGGTTGGTGCCTATTCCCGATTGCTTTTCTTCGATTAGCAACTAGACTTATTGAGTAGTGTGTAATAACCTAAAATAGCTCGAAGCAAAACATCCTCTAGCTACCTCAGAAGACTAGCTTCGCCATTTCCCCTGATCCGACCATTTTAGTATCTTACACCGAAACGAAACTAGATTAGTTCTTAAGTAAGTGTTCCTTAGCCGAAGCTTTCTACAAACAAGCTGCTAGTCATCGCGGTCGGGTATTTTAGGTTAGCTGAAGGGCTTGTTGCCACTTCATAAGCCATGGCTAACATGCTCCCCAGAGCCAGGATGACGCCGTCAGTCATCGGGATGCCGCTCTGACAGCACCCAGCTCCTTTCTCACGAAGCTTGTATTTCGCGTGATTGATCTTTCTGAACGTTTATGCGCACTAAGTAGAGAGCACGGCCGTGGACGACGGCAGCGAACTGAAGCCAGGAATCCTTATTTTCATGCTTGAGATTAAGCTACACCAGGGCAATCAGGGGCATCCGATCCCTCTTCGTCTGTACATATATTTATTGGACGAGTCCCGGATCTCTGGTAAGGCCGTATCCTCAACAACCATATTCCATTCTTTCAACAATACAGCATATTCATCGACGTTCATTTGTATACCAGAAACCAACAGTCTTTACCAGATCTCACAATCACTTTCCTCAACATGTACTCCAAGACCGCCCTAATCGCTGCCCTGGCTGGCTCAGCGACCGCCGTCTTCGACGTCAGACCGGACCGCATCCGTCGCGATGTCGTTCCCAGTCAAACTGAGCTCTCCGCCGACCCATGCCTCAACGCCCTAGGCACAGTCTACGCCAACGCACCAACTCCTCCCCCCAAGATCCTCTCCTACGAGATGACTGCTCCTCCGCAAAACGACCCTTGCAGCATCACTGTCCCTGCGGAGCTGAGCGCCGAGTACTCGAGCTATACCTCGGAGCTTCTTAGCTGGGTCGACGCCAACTCGGCCTCGATTGCGTCGGCGGTGTCCGTTTGCTCTACTCTTTCCGAGTTTGAGACCGAGATCCCACTCTGCACGGCAGAACCCACTGACGGTGCTACGGAATCTGGCTCTTCTGCACCAAAGACCACGGCTGCTGGCGGCGATTATCCCTCTGCTACTGGCGAAAGGAAGACTGGAGCTGCCGCCGGCACAGGTGCCGGCGTTAGTGCGACAAGCGGCCGCAATAGCCCGACGCAGATTCCCGTCAACGCCGGACACCGTCAGACCGGCATGATTGCTGCCGCTGCTGTTGCCGCTGGCTTCGTTGGCGTTGCCGCGTTTTTGTAAAAGGGTAATGAACATGCTTGCACCACGGAAGAGAGCACCGGGCTTGAACTTTATAGGCTGTCAAAATTGTATGCGTAAAGTTTAATTTTATACAAGAATCTACGCCGTCACTTCTCGACTTGGTTCTCCTCTCGACCTGTGACATCTAGTACGACTCGGAAGCAACCGTGATTAACCCTTGAAGGGCCTGACATCCCATGGTGTAGCCACAGCCAAAGCGGTTGTGCACTTGGCCGCCAGGGCGGCTTTACCCTCATCACTGGTGGCGGAAACGCAGGGCGTTCCAATGTCTCCCTTGATACCGTCGCAGAGAATGACGGGGTCACCACCGCACGGGGTGGTGATGTTGAAGTTCTTGAACTGAATGTTGTCGCAGACGGCGTTCGGGTTAGTGGAGCAAGTAAGCTTGGCGACAGCACGACCATACTTGCCGCTCGAGTATCCAGAGAAGTTCTCGAACAGAATGTTGCTGATGTTCATCTGGGAAGGGTAGGCAGCGCAGGTGGTGGCGTTGATGTTGAAGTAGCACGAGTCAATGAAGGCCGTGTACTCGTTGTTCGCCTGCCAGAAGTTGCGGAAGGTGACGTTGTCGATAAAGCCGTAGCCAATGTTAGGGCCGGCCCAGGTCTTGAGGCGGGCGCCGTGCTGGCCGTTGAGCATCCAGACGTTCTCGATGACGACATCCTTAACGAAGCTCTTCTCGCCGGCGTACTGGCCAAGGGATCCAATGGACTGTCCGTGGGTGCCGTTGCAGTACATAGTGTCGACGTGAACATTGGTGGCGTTGGACTTGGGGGAGAAGCAGTCGTCGCCAATGTTCACCCAGGCGCGCTTGACGCGGACATCTTCGACGTTCAGAGAGTCGAAGAAGTCGGTGTTCTTGGGCTCGGCAGTGTGGTTGTTGGTCTCGGCGGTGACAATGACGTCCGTGAAAGAGATGTCCTTGGCTAAAATTCTGTTAGCACTGGTCCTCTTGCAATAATTATGGTGGCACCACTTACAAGTGACGATGAAGGTGGTCCAGCAAGGAGAGTCCTTGAAGTGGATGCCCTCGATGGACAATCCAGTCGCGTTCTCCGCATAGAATAGGATGGGACGGAGGTAGGCGTTTGTGGGGTCCAAAATCCTTAAAGTTTGTTAACGTTAAGCTTAAAGCAAGTCAAGGATCTGTCGAAAGCTTACTCGAGGCCGGCAAACTCGTTCCACCATCTTTGACCGTTACCGTTCAAAACACCTTGGCCGTACAGCTTGACGTCCTTGCCTCCCCACTTCCAGAACATGATGGAGTTCTGGAACGGGTGGTGGAAGGCATTGGCCTGCCAGTACGGGGTGTCGTTGGTGAACTTGATCTCGCCCTCCCAGTGGACGTGGATATCATTAAGCCATGTCAGATCGAGCGGCTTGCCAATGATGAATGTCTGGTTGGCGGGGAGGTGGAGAGTGCCGCCGTTATTGGCCAGCTTCAGGCCCTCAACAAACTCGTCAGAGACGTCATCGAGGTCGTTCTCCGAGGCGCGCAGAGTGTACGTGTTACGGCAGCCCCTGGAGCGCTTCTGGTAAGGGTGCTTCACGCGAAACTCGTCCACGTTGCGAGGGACGCCGGCCGGAATCAACTCGGCCGAGTAGGCAAGGGCGCTGCTGGCAGCCGCCAGGGCGGCGAAGATGGACGAGACTCTCATGGCTGCGTGTGGGATTGAGTGGTGAGAGGGAAACACACACACGAGGTTGAGTAGGATTGCCAAGTGAGTTGCCAAGTAAGGAGGCTGCTCGGGGGATGTGATCAGCCATCCAGGACAACTCCCAGAGCGCGAGCGTCTTCATATACTCGTGCCGCTTGGCAATGGACCTGCATCGCCAAGTCACATTTCTTTCCCAATTGCTCTACACCCCAAGTGATCATCATGACTACCAACAGCTCTTCGGCTATGGAAATATTCGACGTCTCTCCAAAGTCGGGGTAACATGGCAGGGGGGAGAATAAGCAGCTAGTTGGGGCGATAGCAAGCTAGTCTCGCTTCGCCCAGCCATCTGGAAATAACCAGGACGCACTGCACGAAGGAGAAACAACACAACCCATTCCACCTATCAAGCCCTCGTTTCTCCTCTCGTTCAGTGTCCTGCATCAGTCCATCCGCGTAATCAGCAGACCGCCGCACCGGGTCTCTCGCCGGCCTCGCAGTAGCCCCAGGCTCCCCCAGCCGTGCGCCCATGGGGTTTTGACGGGTTGACCAGCCTCGAACCCCATCGCGACGAGGGGGAGAAGTTGGGGAAGATGCGAGCCAACGAGCTTTAGCTAAGGTGGATTCGGAGATTGTGCAGGTTGCCTGCATATCGGTTCCCAGGGTCGACTGCGCCGTCTTGTCTACGTGAGCAAGTGATTGATGGAATTTCTAGACCGTGGTCAACGGAGAAAACTAGCCAACAATCGGATGGATTCGACTTGCGTCGTTAGTCGAGATTCCCCCGCACAAAGCCGCAATCTCCCCCAGTGATCCATCTCTTTGTTGGAAATTTTGCTCCCTTGTCAGTCCCCCCGCGTCGTGATGTGGATGGTGGATTGTGGAGGAACTGTGGAGGGTTGGCCAAGAAAGGACTCCTGTCCGTGGTCCCAACGCCCCAAAGCTTCAGTCAATTTGGTCGATGTCTTGGCCACTTGGCCACTTGGCATTTCTTTTTGCCAAGAAATATCACGTCTTGATTTCCGGAGGTAATTGCCGAAGTGAGCGCCAAGGCTTCAATCACGACCACACACCGTCTCTTCACGCGTCGTCCAGCGATATCTCAATGACCATAGCTTGTGAGAATATCATTCTCGGAGTTGAGTTAATTTGGAACCGGAATTGTGAAAAGATCATTGATTCTATACCAAGCGAAAGCCTCTGTCGTACTACGTCAAGACCTCGGTCCTAGTCACAACTCTTCAAGCGCCAGGTTCGCTGTGTTGGCATCCGTTAGAACCTCGACCAAAGCAACTATACAATCTGCAATACTTTCCGCCACTACTAGATCCAAGATGGTGTCGTCATACATGACCTTCAATATATGACGATCACCCAGTGACTTGGACACCTCGACGACCAGCGCGTATGGCTGGTACATGAGCACCTTCGATTTCGCCATGACAAGCCATCGGTAGCGGCCATTCGGGTCGTCCTTAGCTGCCGGCTCGAACGGTTGAGAGAGAAACAAGATGCGATTGCCGTGTGTCTCGCGGGATAGACCAGCAATACTGTAAATATCGTCGAGGCCGACGAGGCCGTTCTCGGTCACGTCCCAGAAGTCGTCTTGTAGCTTCGCGAGGAAGTCATGCACCAATTCCTTCGGAACAACGGGCGTTCGGAATGGCAAAAAGTTGGCCAGCGTTCCGTTGATAGACTGAGGATCAGGCAGCGCTACGTTGCGACCGCTCAGCAAATAATCAAAGCAGATATCCGTGGCCTCGGTCGCTGCAGCAAGCCAAAGGGAGAATGCTCCTTGGAAGATGACGCTCGGAGTGATTCCAAGGCGAGAAGCTGCTTGGTCGATGTCTGTCGTCACAATCTCCCTCCGCAAGCTGGCTGTCACCTTTGGCGATGGGGCCGCGGCAAGATCTCGGCCATGCAGCTGCTGGTCGAGGGGCCCTAGCCCATCCATCTTCGCCTTCCAGTACCCGAGGCTAGCTGTCTTGTCTTCTGCAAAGACATGTTGAGAGAAGTCGCGGAACTCTACCGGCGGCGGTACGCTCTCGCCCCGAAGAATGGCGCCAAAGTGTTCATCGAACACGCGAAGCAAAGTGCCGTCGTAAACGGCGTGATCCATCTTGATGACGAGATCCCAAGATGAATCGCTGCGGATTATGGCAGCATACTTGATGAAGGGACGACCAAACTCAAACCGAGCCTGCCAAAACTCTTCAATGAAGCTCGAAGACTCTGACTCGGAGTTCAGGGCGATCTTGGTAACATTCAGCTCGGAGCCATGAAGAACAACTCCGACCCAGCCAGCTTCGGGAGTATCGATCCAAGTCGTCCGCAGGATTTCATTAAGGTCAGTGAGTCGAGTCGTTGTTTCAATCCATGTATCCGGATCAACGTCCGCCGTCATACGCCGGACAGTCTGCAGCGCCCACATTTGCGACTCTCGGCTGCCCTGTTTGAGGAACTCGGCTTGACCGGGAGGGCATGGGTACACTGGAATAGTTGTAAGCTGGGAGTCTGACTGGAAATTGTACAATAGAAAACTGACCATGATCGACATCTGTATCCCATGCTATTCCAACTTCTTGGGCAGCTACCTTGATTGACGGAGGGATTTCGAAGGAGCGCTCAACCACCTCACCGCGTGCTTCTATTTTGCGCAGAGTGGATGCCATGTCCTTCAATTTGGGGGTCTTGAGGATATCAAGCACCGTCAGCGAGTAGCCTACTCGTCGCAATTGACCCGTGAGGCTGATAGCGGAAATCGAATCACCTCCAAGCGTGAAGAAGTTCGCCTCACGTCCAATCTCATTTTGCGGGATGCTGAAGATATCAGCCCAGACGAGCTCCAGAATCTCTTCTGAGGGTGTTTGGACAGGGACAACTTGGTGATTCTCGTCAGGAGTCTCCAGCACGCATTTCGCCAAGTATTCCCGGTTGAGCTCGGTGGCCAGCACTTTCAGCGCCTTGCGGTCGACTTTGCGCGAGGGCAGCTTGGGGAAAGCGTTGATTGGAACAATGAACTTCGGAACCATGTACGTCGCCAGTGAACTCAGATTCTTCCGCAGTTCAGCAAGAGAGCCTCGGAAGGTTGAAGGATCTTGAACACCAGTTGGACCAATGGCTGCAAAAGCTTCGTCAAAGATGCAGAATGCGATAAGATGAGCCTTGCTTTGAAAGTTAGCAGCCAAAGCCACTGTGTCTTTAACGAGCCCAGAACGGCGAATGGAGTTTTCGACCTCTCCGAGTTCGATACGATGGCCATGGACCTTGACTTGATTGTCTTTTCGTCCGAGACACTCGATCTCACCCCCTGGAAGCCAGCGAGCCAGGTCCCCTGTACGATAGATGCGCGCACCAAGAGAGTTGCTGTCGATATAGGCGGCTTCTGTCAAATCCAATCTGTTCATGTAGCCGTCTGTAACCTGGGGTCCTGCGATGCAGAGCTCGCCAACAGCGCCGTACGGTACCAACGTCTCACCATCTGGCCTCAAGATGAAGGCCATGACAGTTGAGAAAGGAGCGCCAATGTTGCCAATGCGTTGACTCGTGGCACCTGATGACGACTCGATGCTCTTGGTCGTCACTACCATGGATGTCTCCGTTGGACCGTAAACGTTCAAGATCTTGCAGTGAGGGCTCCAAACATCAACGACATCTGGTGTCAGAGGCTCACCACCCACGATCAGAGTCTCGAAGCCTGGTACATCATTTGGACTGAAGAGCTTCGCGACCGTTGGCGTGATGATTGCCTGCCTCACATCCATCCGGTTGATACATCCAGCAATATCGGAAAGCAAAGTTTCGGTGGGCGCCATACAGAGTGTTCCCCCAGTGCTGAGCGTGTTGAAGAAGTCTTGGACCGATGCGTCGAAGACGTAGTTGGCGAACTGCAGAACCCGCCAGGTGCCCTCGAACCGGCCTTCCACCTGTGCCATGCTGGTGACTGCAGCCGCGGCCGCTCGGTGAGGTACCATGACGCCCTTGGGCATGCCAGTGCTGCCAGAGGTGTAGATCATGTAAGCAAGATTGTCGGGTGTTGTGCGTGACATTGGCGCAAGGTTGGTATCGGATCCATCGCTCGAGACAGTACCAAGCGTTCCGTGACTAGGCATGGCCAGTGTCTCGATGCCGTAGAGCTGCTTGACATAGATCCCGAATCCAGCATGCTGCGGATGGGCCACGAGAAGCTTAGCTCTTGTATCGGATACCACAAAGCCGTTCCTCTCGTTCGGATTATCCGGACTTAGAGGAACATACGCTCCTCCCGCCTTCATGACGCCTAGGATGGCAACCACCATGTCGACTGACTTTTCAAGCATCAGAGGCACCAGGTCTCCCGGAGAGACGCCATGAGCAATGAGAGTATGAGCGAATCGATTCGAAAGCCTATCGAGAAGTGCATACGACACGATCTCCTTCCCGTCAAAGTCGATGGCAATAGCGTCTGGGGTGCTGGTAGCGATCCTCTCGAATGCACTGTGAAGAAGTTCTGCTTCGGGAACTCGAAGATTTGTGCGGTTGGAGAGCGTGTTGGAGACATAGCCAGTCTCTACATGATTCATGACCGAAACCGACGCAAGCTTCGTGTCTGGTTGGCCCAGCAGGACATTGATGATGTGGACAAACGAGTCTTTGATGAAGTGAAGCCTCCGAGGTTCCATCGTACTGGCCAAACGAATAACGGTTGTAGCAGTTGCTTCCTCTACTTCAAGGACAGTGGTGTCAGAACCGGACGCCCATTGAGGTCGATGACCATGTACACGGAAGACTTCGTCAGCGTTTTGCTTAGAAGCACCTCCCGCATCGCTCTGGCTGACCAGAATGTTGACGAGTGTGTCAAAAGCCTGGCTGGGAAGATTTCCAGCACGCAAAACGCCAACAACACCAAGTTGTGAATGTCTGAGGAGTTGCGCGAACCCTGACAAAGTCCCTTTCAAGTGATTTCTGATGGTGGAATTGGGATCTACTTTGATGCGTTGGGGCACCGAGGTCATAGTCGGGCCGTCGATGTCATTCATGTCAGCCACGGGAATCTCTCTTCCAGAGACGGTAGTTGCAAATGTGACATCGTCGCTCCTTAGGTGATGGGAAAGTAAGATAGCCCAGGCCCCATAGACAACTGCGCCAAGTGTAGAGCCGATCCGTCGAGATTGCTGGCTGATGCTGAAATCTAGTTCAACTTCGACCTTGCTAATCTTCTCGCCCGGGGAGTGATTCAACCTCGTGGTCTGCGCTCCCTCGAGGTATTCAGACCAAAATCTCTGACTGGCGGCGCTGTCTTGGGATTGCAAATATTTGACGAAGTTGCCCAAGGCTGGCCGGTCCGTAAGAGATTTGCCCAGATAGACTGTTGCCACATCTTCGTAAAGAAACTTGTGAGACCAGTAATCGAAGAGTGAGTGGTGCATTGTGACCACCAGGATGTATCCAGAAAGAACAGTGACCTTCCATAGAGGAGCATCCAGTTCCCACTGGCGAGTCTTTTCCTTCGAAATGAAGGACTCCAGTGTCTCTGAAGACTCGTACCAAGGAAGTGAAAGATCCTGGCGGATGGTCTGCAGGAAGGATCGTTTGTGCGGCAGAAAAACCGTGCGAAAGACGTCCCGAGAACGGAATATTTGGTCAAAACTTGCTCGCAACTTCTGAAGATCGACCGCAGCAACATCCCAAGTCCGTGAGTAGGTATATGGGTCGGATGGCGCGTTCAAACTGGACAACATAGTCTCCTGGAATGGCGTAGCAGGATAAGCGTCAACGATGTTGACATCACGTTGCAAGTCGGAAGCAAGCCCCAGGTCGGCAATGAGGGCGAATGGTCCAGGCTCTTCCTGGGTCTCGGCACTGAATGCCTGTGACTGAGCTGCCACAATTTCAAGGGATGCTCCCTCGAGAAGCTCACTCAACTCGACAGAGAAGCCAGCTTTGCGTAGCTCAGAGACAACCTTGATAGCTTCAATGGATGATCCGCCCAAGTCTGTGAATGAGTGAGATCGCTTGATGGCTGATTGTTCAATCTTCAGAACGCTTGACCAAGCCGATGCGATGGCAATCTCTGCATTGTTGGAAGCGCCGTCTACCACATCGTCGTCGCTGTCGCCAGTCTCCATGAGCCTAGCAAACCCAGTGGCCCCCAGCTCTTCGGCTGAGTTGCGAAGGAAAGCATAATCAATCTTCCCATTGGCATTCTTGGGAACCTTCTCGACGGGAAACCAGATGCTGGGCATCATGTACGCAGGCAAACTCTGATGCAAGAGCTCCCTGGCAGAAACCACCGAAGTTTTGAAGATGGCGTCGCCTGCAAGGACGAGAGCTGAAGCCAGGACTTTGCGATCATTCAGACTGATGCCTAGAGTAACGGATGAGGTAATAGTATCAACAAAGCGCAATAGCCGGTCGATCTCTGCGGGCTCGACCTTCTGGCCATTGACCTTGACTTGCATGTCCGCCCGTCCTAAGATCTCAATTTGACCATCAGCAAGTCGACGGGCTTTGTCACCGGTTCGGTAAAGCTTGCCGATACCAAATGGGTTGTCGACAAAGGCGCGCGCTGTGAGCGCTGTCTCGTTGAGGTAGCCTTCAGCGAGCTGTGGGCCAGCTAGACAAAGCTCGCCCGCGACAAGCAGAGGCGCAAGTTGTTCACCATCTTGATCTAGAACGAATACATCTGTAGTATCGGCCGGAGAGCCGACTAAGCGACGATTGAAAGGTCCTCCAGGTGACAGTTGGAGCTCCTTTCCAAAATTGAGCTGGGTACACTCGCTAAGCCCATAGGTATTCCTCAGACGTAGGCCCTTCTGTGCTGACCAGATCTCAACGAGATCTCGCGAGATCTGCTCACCAACTAGTGTGATTTGCTTGAGACTAGGCACCTCATCAGGCTGTAAAAGGGACAGAGCGGACGGGGTGATACCGAGGGAGTCGACTGAGAACCTGTTGATGACATCAGCAAGGTCACTGTTCAGAGACTCCTTGCTAGCAAGGACCAGGGTCGCTCCATGGACAAGCGTCCCCAAAATGGTACGCTGAGCGGCGCTGAAGCTAGGATTGTAGAATAGAAGCCACCGTTCAAGCCCGTTCATAGATTGGTAGGACATGCCGCTCGTAGCTGCGCGATGTGTGAGAACGGCACCCTTGGGTTTGCCTGTGCTGCCAGAGGTGTAGATCACATAGCAACGGTCTTCCGGGCGGATGTCAATGCCAAGGTTGCCCAGCTCATCAGACGAAGAAACGGCCAGATTGTCTCCTGGAGAAGAGAGAATGTGCTCAATTTCTAAGGTGTTGGAGAGTATGTTGACAGACTGATGACTAGCCAATACAGTGGCGGGTCTGAGATCCTCTAAGATGCGCTCGAGGCGGTTGGATGGAGTGTTGGGATCGAGAATCGTGTAAGCTGCCCCAGATTTGAGCACGGCCAGGACTGCGATGACAAGCTCCACAGACCTCTCGGCAAGAATGGGCACGAACGATCCCTTTTCCAGCCTGAGTCTTCTTGCGAGCAAATTGGCTTGGCTGTTGAGCTCAAGAAATGTGACAGGTGCTCTGCCTTCTGATTCAACTGCGATTCTCTCAGGAAATGCAGCGACGGTCCTCTCAAACAGATGAGGTATAGTTGTAGGCTCGGCATTGCGCGTTGACAAGGACTGCGACATGATGAACCGCTGTTCATCTTCAGACGTAAGATCAGAGGCTAAGAGCTTGCATTCGTCTGCAAGCTTCAATTTGGTCGCGGCACTGACGATGCCGGCGACGAAGTGCTGCAGCACAACCTCAACCTCTTCAAGAGGAACATAGGGCTTGCACTTAAGAGTGAGTCTCAGTACCCCGCTGTCGCTGATACATAGAACGACGGGGAATTTCCGTAGCCCGGGAGCGATGCATGGCGTGTTCGTCGTTTGGCTATAACTGACAGCTGTCTCGACTAAACGGAGGCTTGGGGCGTGATGCTGGATCTCTTCGAGTCCTATAAAGGCATGGCGACCAGCTTGGCTATGATATAAATCGAGAGTCTTGGAGGCACCACTAATAGCCAAACCCTCTTCGCTCTCGACATGGAAGCGGATAGGATATGTTTGATCAACACACCCAACGCAGGTGTTTGAGCCGATGAAGCTCTCGTCCCGGCGGACCGTACCGAAAACAACATCGTTAGAGCCGGTATGAGTGCTGATCACATGTGCCCAAACGATCTCGAAGAATGTCTGTCGCCAAGAGCCCAGGCCGTGGTGAGCTTCAAGATCATTGAGTTGCGCTAACTCTGGCCCACTGATAACAGCGCTGACACCATGTCTGCCTCTGGTGATAGTTTGAGTTAATTCATCAGCATGAGCACTGAATACGGATCGGGGTATGACGTCGGCCAGGATTTCAGCCCAAAAAGCCTTGGAAGCTCCAACATTCTGTCTTTGTTGGTCGAGATATCGTATATATGTGGCAAACCCGGCAGTCTCGAGGCTGGGTAGTCCATGGACTTGAAGAGCGTAGTCGAGCTTGATCATGTGCAAAGACGTTGTATCAATCAGAGCACGATGAAAGTGAAGTACCAGGCTGATGCCATCCCGTCCGCGAGTGCTTTCAACAGTCACATAAGCTGGAGTCTGACTGTCTTCATCCGGACTCTTGTCAGAATGGTCCCATCGGATGCGCTCGACCCTGCGGAGAACTACGACCTGCGGTTGGCCTGAGTCGTTATCATTCGTGATATAGGATCTCAAGCAGATATCTAATGAAAAATGGAGCCAAGAGTGAGCTAGTGGTCGAAAGTATGTCAAGAGATATGAGACTTACGGTGTGAGGCTAGAGAGTTCCAAGCATTGAAGATGTTCTCGAGTCCAAAGGAAGATGGCTTCCCGGCAAAAAGTTCAACTTCCGCCCATTGGACATCTTCGCTGAGAATTCCCTGCTGAATCTCTGTTGCAGGAAAACTGACTTCGACCTCTGAAAAGGCTAAAGGGCTGTCCTTACCGTAGAGCTTGTCGTGGATGCCTAAAGCAAGGTCATGGGGGCTAGGGAGGAAGAAGTCCTCATGTTTTTCGATATGACGGATTAACTGCATTGCAGCAGTCAAAGGCTTTGGGGAACCAAGGGTTCAAAAAGGTAGGGAATGCAGATAAGGAGATTGGAAATGCTGCAGTTTGGACGCAAAAGATTGATCATGTTTCTCTAGAATATTGTCTTTCATCATTACGAGCATAACATCCAGCTTATAAGTAGGATAAGTGAATTCAACGCATTTGCGTTTTTTACCAAGCCCTGGAGCGTTTCGACCAATCGCTCGTTGCCCTTTCGTGAGTCTTGCTTCCGATGGGTTTTCTCCTCAGCGACAGCATGGGAGTTCCACAAGCATACGGCTCAAGTTCGCTACATCACTGTCATCCCACAGGTACCCGCGTAGAAGCAATTTTGGACTTTGCATGTCACCACCTGCGGCAAGTTTTACCCAGGCTAGCACGAGCATCGCCACATCGTCCGACTTCCACTTGGAAAACGGATCTCGTCAGTTTTCCAGATGATTGCGAATATCGAGGCAGAAGCTACCTCAAAGATCCAGCAACTGAATTAGAAAGATCTCGAGTCGTATTCTGGGCTCCATGTGGTAAAGATATGGCGTGCTGCCTTCGACCCTCGCCCTCAACCTCAACGCCAACTTTGCGAGCATGTCTTGAGTCGGACTATACGCCGACATGGATGCGCTTACGAGTCGAAATATCGGACCCAATGACCCGTGTCAAACTTCGCACTACTTGTGACTAGGGTCGGGCAACTTTGTAGATGTGCCACTCTTGATGTGAGTGATCGTTATCGCGTGATAGATCGAACGCAACTTTGTAGGACGAACCTGGTGACCCTCAAGCGTCTAGACAGCTTGGAATTCCATCTCGAGTCAGTCTTTGCGGAGTTTCAGCCGATTTCTTTCCCATAAGACCGATTCAGCTTTCATGTCCTTGCTCGGCGTATAAAATGAAAATATGAACAAGGGTCCAAACTGATCTGCCGTGATAGCACTCTTGTTGCTGCATCAAGAGTCACGTTCGGCGTGGAGGTTGTTGGAAAATGGCTCACTATAACGTCGTAGAGAGACATTCTAGGCCTCATCGCCAGTCTGGAAATGCCTTCTTCCATCCCTTTTCAACCACAAGGGAACTCTTAACGGCTACTTGAGTGACAATCATCAGTTAGTGACGCACAGAACGGCGGGAACGCCGAGACTCGCCGGTTTTAGCCGTGCCTGGCAAGCTACCTATAGTAGACGGCGACATCAGAGAGAGCATGCGCAGATGATACTAAGATTGATCCTACGAGTCATTTCCCATCACAGAATATCCTGGTCAAGGGATCTCGTTATACACGGAACTATCTTAGCATCAAATTGGCATGCTATTCGAAGTGCCGGACGGAAGCGCGGCATGCGTGACGCTGATGGTCCTTAAAGGTTTCAATTCACCCATGCTGTGCATAAGAGTCTGCTTTACAGCTTGTCGATCGGAGAGACGTAGTCAGTGACAAGAGGGATGATATTATCTCACAGGGGTCTCGATATTACGAAAACCCCGAATAGGTTGAAGAGGCAGGAAAAACATTGCTGACAGGGTTGCCGTTCCAGAATCGATTGAGATGGAGTCTTCAACAAGAATAAGATGTAACCCCCGCGCGCACAGTGTTTGCTTGACTGTGTTCTAAGTAGCCCATCTCCCTTGTCCATTCTCCACATCAGATGAACCGGACGCTTGAGCCGCATATTATCGAATCGCTTCAACTCAAACTCTAACAGATGACCATGTTCAACGGATGAAATGTGAAGCAGATCATCATCTGCTCGATACATGGCGCCATTTGTGAGATGATGCAAGATGAGGAGAAAATGAGATGGTGTTGATGATGCTGACCGAAGATAACGCTCTTAAAGCCGTTTAAAGATCGGGTAGTTAAAAGTTTGTTCGTCACCACGCTCTATAACGATCAACTCGTCAACTCCAAGCTTCTATCCTGCTAAATATTTACAAGATTTTGGTGTTTTAATCTGCGAACATGGCTTCCTGGGATGATCGTACTGTCACGAACGAGCACTTGCTGCCTTACGTTGACTCGAGTACAGCTCAGCCCGATATTAAGGCTGCACTCCAAACTCTTCCGTTTGAGAGGAATGTTTTCAAGGTGCGATTGAGTCCTTAAAAATACACCAATATTGTAGTAGAGCCTTTGGAAGGCCTCGATGTTGACGCCTGTGAACACAGCTTCTTGCAAACAGCAACGTGTTCTTCAAACCGTTCATGAACCTCTTGTCCTCGGCCTGGAGTGAGCAGCGACAGATCCGCTCCACCGATTGGCAGCTCATCGTCCTACGCACTGCAGCCACCTTGAACGCTCCTTACGAGTGGGACGTGAACGAGCCCGTTGCTCGTATTTTTGGCTTCACCGAAGAACAGTTCGCTGCTCTGCGCAAGGCCCACGAGCCTTTGCCGGAGGGACTCTTCACCGCGCGCCAACGCCTTCTGGGTCGCATTGTCACTACTCTCGGGCGCGAGAATAAAGTTGGCGAGGATACCATTGTCGAAGCCAAGAAGACTTTCAGTGATGAGGAGATTACGGAGATCTTCTACGTGCAAGGCATCTATAGTTTTTTGGCCAGGTTCATGAACAGTGCTCGCATTGACTTTGATGAACCGATCCCAGGGTTAGAGGATCAGTTGCGCAAATACAATGCCAAGACCATTGAGAAGGAGAAGCAGTATGTGGACTGAGCCTGTGGGTAAAGATTAGGGCCTGCAATTGAGATTGATCATGATACTTGGTAAAATGGATCTCGATGACAATTGATAGTGGGACTCCTAAGGTTGTTTTTGCTTTTGATTTGCGTGTTGGACAGATTCTGTGTAAGTTTTGTCAAGTAAGAGTACTTCATGCTCTAAAGATTTGCCCACTCTTCCAAACCCGTGGAATCATCCCCCGCGGACTTTCATGTCCGGAGCTGAATGTATGGATACCTGGGTGACTTTGATTGCTTCCTTAATCTACACCCCTAAGCTCAGTGTCTCGCCAAACTATGGACAAACCTCAGCACGCGCTTCAAATCCCCTACCCCCGCTCCAGAGCCAGAAGAGACAGTAGCATTGATGCTCTGCTCAAAGACGTTTCTTTCCTCGGCTGAGACCGGGACTTGAATAGTTTGCACCTTGGGTGTCACCAGTGCACCCTGAGCCAGGAGATCCTGAAACCAGAGTAGGAGAGACTCCAGTTGCGCGGGTGTTCGCTGACTGAGCTGCTCAGAGAGCCGAAAGTTGCGGAACTTGACCTCGGACCAGAACAAGAGGCGCTGCGAAAGACGCAGAACCGCATCCGCCCCGCCAAGGGATCCATAGTTCACATAGGTTCCTCCATGTGAGAGCAAAGACGCGAGTCGCTCTCCAGGCTCTCCGAAGACGCCATCGATGGCTAGAGCCACGCGGTTGCGGCCCGCTGCGTCGGCAAGAGCAGGATGCGCATTGGCACCTCGTTCTTGGAGATCAGACTCGGTAAGGACGGCATCAACTCCGTCTTTCAGCAGGTCGGACTTCAGGGTCTCCAAAGCGTCCGGACTGCGGTCACGTACAATGCTGACAGTATGGACCCCTTTGATGCGAGCGAACTGAGAAACCAATCGCGCAATGGTCCCAGATCCTATATTTTGGATAATCCAGTCGCCGGGCTTCAGCGCTCTCACATCTTCGACAAGTAGGTAGGCAGGCAAGAATGCCATGCGAAGGAGCGATGCACCAATGAGATCCTCCGTAGGTGAAAGGCGGATCACATCGGCAGAGTTGACAATAGCCTGACTTCGCCAAGTTCCCAGACCATGGCGACGCGGGATGATGAGATCGCCGGGCCGTAGCGCTGAGGTCGGGACCGTCGAGGACGAGGATTCGACTCCTACGACCTCAACTCGCGCGACGCCATCGTAACCCAAAACGGGCTCGCCATCGTGGGTGTAAGATGGTTTCACGGGATATCGACCCGCAATGACCAACAAATCTTGTGGGTTGATCGGAGAGACGAGGAAAGACACGAGAACTTTGCCAGGGTCGACATCCTGAGCTGCACCTTCTGCCTGGGGATAATGGAGTCGGATAGGCGTCGGCGAGTCAGCCACAGATTCAGACTGCGTGATGATCATGATGATTGGCTTGAGTCCGAACTCTCGACAGAACAAATGGTGTAAATTAGTTTGGGGTCCAAAAAACAGAGACTTGTTTGTAACTTGAAGTCTGGCAATAACGGATCTGTCCTTGTATTATGGCCATGTGGAAAGGACAATGACATGATCTTGAAGTCTAAATCACATGAGTCGCTTTCTCATAGTTGCTTTTCACAAGCTTTTCAACCCTCACTCCGTGGGGGTCTCCCACAACACGTAAACGTTTCCAGGGCGCGATGATGCAAAGCACCCTTGACTTATACCTCATCGACAAATCTGGTCTCTAGCCCTGTCAACGGCCACACTTCATCACACAGTGCAGCAGTATTAAAGTTTAGCACTGCAGCAAATCCTAGGGGTCTTCTACGGCAAAGCCGCATCGCGGGTCCTACTTACGACGGCCCGGACCGGGGGGGCAGGCCCACTACCCGTTGCAAGAGAGATTCGCCATAGGTAGTATTGTCGATTCGCAATAATGGCACTTCCTTATTCGGCAAGCTGATTTCTAATCGCCGTGGAGTTTCTGTTTACTTGCAAAGCTTTCCTTCGATCCTGTCGATAGACAGATCATGGATGTAGTCAAGTCTGCCCGTGTTACATATACGAAGCCCCCATGAAGAGGCCTAGACGTCACAATCTGGTCTCAATCAAGTTGCCAGAAGATTTTTCTCACAGTTCTCCTTCTTTTCTATATTTATCTTAACTTTACCACAAAGAAGCTACTTCGAAGCCTTTAGAGGCTTCTATCTGGATTCACAATCCAACATGGCTGATTTGGAAAAGAAGGAGGCCACACCGAGCGACGAAGGCGTCTTGGCACCACCTTCGCCATCTTCAGAGCCGTCAGACAAGGAACAAGCCGTTGACACTCAGGTTTTCAATGA